AGAAGAAGGAGCAGGAGGGTAATGATGATGATGATGATAACAATAATAATAATAATAATAATGATAATGATAGTTAGAAAATATAACGTGGGGGTGGACATGAACAGAAGCGGAAGAGCGAGAAAGGGCGAGAAGGCGTCGGGCCGAGATAGGAGCCGCCGAGAATTAATGTTCAAGGGAGCAGATTCTGGCCGTCATGGTGCGTTCTTTATTGCCCGTCCGCACACGCCCTCGCTCTTGATGTCTTCGGTGACACTGCGGGCGCTACTCTGGGCTTTGTGTTGATTGGGTTTATCACTGTATCGAAGTTAGAATGAGTTGTGTGTGTTTGTATTTTCGTGTTATGGTTCCTCGCGCCCTGGCAGTCTGACTGACATCATTGGGACTGACATCATTGGTTGAAATGACTTCGGCGGTGGCTTCAGGTGACTCGCCCGGCACACTTCGCCCGTTATCCTGCTCCCGTTGCGTCACTGGGCCCGAGCGCCGGCGACTGGCTCACGTGACCCGAGTGCCGCACACCTCGCTAAGCACGCTTGCCTAACTCGTGTAATTAAACGAGGCAGGTCGTGCTGGGCTGCATGCCGTCCCCCCCCCCCTCCCCTCTACTTCTTTCTTCCTTCCACCCCCAACCCCCTCCTAGTTTTCGTTCCCCTTTCCCCTTCTCTTCCTCTTCTCCTCTTTTCCTCCTCTCCTCTTTCCCTCTCTCCACTTTCCTCTCTCCTCTCTCCCCTCTCCCCTCTTCTCTTTCCAATTCTCCTCTTCCATCCAGTGCTGCATCCTCCTCCCCTTTATCCAGTTCTCTGTACCCCATTCCTCTTCAATCGTCCTCTTTCCCCCTTCCCCCATCTCCCCTTTTCTCCCTGCCCTGCACATGCCATCTGCAGAAGGAAGAGAAAGGATTTAGCTTGGAAAGAGAGAGAGAGCAATGAAGGAGGAGGAGGAGAAGGAGAAGAAGCTAAAGAAGAAGGAGGAGAAGGAGGAGTGGATAACGACGAGGACGAGAAAAGAATGTGAAGGAGGAGGAGGAAGTGGTGATGGAAGAGGAAGAAATTGTAAAGGGAAAATAATAGAAAAAAAGGTAATCCAAGACCCCCCGTCCACCCACAAAAATGATAAACAGGTAAATAGGACAAAATGACAAAAAATAAATAAGTAAATAGAGAACGCGAGAGGCATTAGATGGTTTAATAAAAGTAGATCAAAACAGACACGAAACAAGTGTCAGAACCCCGCCGAGCGGAGGCATCGAGGCGGACAGAATGCAGGGAGGGTCACGCACCGGCGGATGTGGGGTAGGGGGGGAGGGACGAGGGGGAGGGAGGGAGAGGGAGGAAGTATAAGAGGGAGGGGTGGTGGAGGAAGGATGATAGTGAGGGAGGGAGGGACCTGTTGCACACTCACACACCCACCCTGCCGGTCACACTCCCTCATTATGTATGCAGAGACTGATTAACGGTATCACTTTCCCTTCCCGATGGCCGCGGTTTATGGCCCGGGCGCTGGGTGGGACTGCGCCGCTGCGATCACCAGTGCCGGGGAATGGGGGAAATGGGGGAGGGAGGGCAGGGGACGGGACAAGGGGGTGAAGGGGAAGGGGGAAGACAGGGGAGGAAGGGTTAAATTCGGAAAGAGTATATCCACACTTGTAACATTTTCCTTTTTTTTTTCTTACTATTAATTGTTGATATCTGTTCTTTCTATCCTGTTTGTACGTGTTTGTTTGTTTACCAAGTCTCAAGAAAGCTTTGTTTATCTTTGTTTTGTTTTACTTATGGTCATTCTTCGTGGGGTCGGACGGAGTAGGGCCGTTTAGAAATGTGGGCGTCGCGGGGTGGGCGTAGGCGTGCAGGTGGAGGAGTAAACGAGGAAGGAACGAGAAGCGGATGGAGAGTCGGAGGAGTGGGGGAGGGGGGGGGGGGGTCCGGGTTGGTAGTGGGGCAAGGGGCTAGAGAGTGAGGGGGGGGAGGGAGCGAGGGAGGGGAGGGGAGGGAACAACTTTCCCCGCGGAGAAGGGTTGACGGCCACGCTCACGCACGCTTGACCGCAGACAATCAGGAGACCCGACCAATTAACATTATTCGTGAAAGGTCAATCGTTTCGCAAATCAACCCGCCTTGCATGTCTGTATGTAAATTTATGAGGCGGTGGAGAGTAGCTTTCCTTGAGTGTGTGCAGGCTCCCGCCCCGGCCATTGCGTGTGCATATGTTGACATTAATATGCAGGCACTGATTGCACACGACATGTGCGTGCTCTCGGTCGGAGAGACACACTCATACATGCACACACACTTAATTGTTCAATTAC